GTTTTGCCTCTCGCTGTAATATAAGGCATCCCCCGAAAATAAGACCTCCCCGATAATAAGGCCACCCCGGAATATAAGGCCCCGAAGCTCCAGGAAAAATAAGACCTCCCCTGAAAATAAGACCTAGCGCATCTTTGGGAGCAATCCTCTGGCCTCCCTCAGGAGGTACAAACCCTCCAGCACCTGCCCTTTGAGGCTTGACTATCGTCCTGATTTTCAAAGGAAACTCACGGCCAGATTTCCATGTGCTCAGCGCTACAACTGGAACCAAATTTTCAAGAGGTCCCATTTAGGCACCTAAAGCGGGGCCAGATTCTCCTCAATGCTCAGTAGCTTCCAGGCACACAGTTAAGAGCAGATTTTCAAGAGTTCAGCCCCTGATATGCCCCTGACTGCTGAGCTCATCTGAAAAACTGGCCATTTATTTGCAGCCTGGCTGGGAACTGGGCTCTTTTCAATATTCTGACCTACATTTGTGCTAAGCAGTATTAATAAGAAGGAAAAATTAAGCCATGAGGCAGATGTCTCTCTCCCTCTGGGAATTAGACATGGGAAAAAGCCTACAGGATCATTGAACCCATCCTGCAAGTTCAGCAGACAGACCCCCAGCTACTACAGTGAGTATTATAGACACGTATTATAGACTAAATAAATGTGCCATTTTGCATGGTGGGTCGTGACCCACAAAATTCTGTTTCATAATAATACTGCTCCCACATGATGCCACCTCTCACAATTCTGCATTTTTCTTAAAGCCTCAGCTCCTGGAGTCATGTGACTACATGAAAATTCCATTATCAATTAAAAGAAAAGAAGGAAAGAGTAAGTTTCTAACCCCTGGTGGTTGAAGAAAATAGCTTGAAAGCATGAACCTTACAGGATCTAAAATCAGATGGAAAAATATCATGATTGATGTTTGAACATTTTGAGTTAGCAATACTGCTCCAAATCCAAATTGGAGCAGGGTTTGTTCCTTCAACTTAGACTAAAGGCTGAGCATGCTCAGTAAGAAGTTACAGGGAATTGTTGGTGGCTTTCATTATCTAATTTATTTCATGAATGAAATAGTTTTTCCAAAGATGAAAACCACCAGGAAATTTACCAGCCCAGGTACAACATCAACTTGCCCACACTGTATAATGGGGCCATTTAGGGGTTGGGGGGAAAAGGGGAGGGTTAAAGGTTTTTGTTTGTTTAATTATTCACCCCAGGAAAGTGGACAAGGTAAAGTTTGTCCAGCTCTCAAACTAAGGCATTGATTGTGAAACACAAACTTGTTCTTAAATTTTATACACATTAGACATCCTGATGAATTCATTGGGACTGCTCAGAAGCATAACTCTAAGCACGGGGGAAAGTATTTGCAGGATCAGAGCCTTAGATACCAGCATTATCTGCTCAGCTTGTACATAGGACCTGGGGAGAACAAATGCCAATGCAGACAGCAGCTGCTTTTACAAAAGCAGATTACCTTTGTCGGTCGCAAAAAACAGATTGCTTTCAAGTGTTTCATAGTCTCTCTGTTCAAAGAATCGATGCGCTCAAAGAGGTAAACTTCCTTCTGAAGGATTTCTGACTGCGTATACACCATGCTCACGATACTGGTCTGCAGGGAGAAAGAAGGAGAAGCCAAGTTATGCTGACTTGCTGGGGCAGGCTCATGAGATACGGAGACAAGGGAGTGTGGACTAATGGTTAGTGCACAGGATTGGGAGTCAGGATTCCTGGGTTCATTCCCCCGGCTCTGCCGCTGATTTGCTGTGTGACCCAGGATAGATCATTTCACCTCTTGTATCTCAGTTTCCCTGGATAGTTCATTGCAATTTTATGTCAATACGCAGGTGTGCAGCAGCCCTCGGTGCACTGGGCTAACACTGCAAAGCATGGCCTCCGCAGGGTTCATGGAGCGGGCGCGGCAGAAGATTTATTGGTGTTTGAGAGCAGCCATCTCACACCATTCCTTGATACCCCATTCTCCAACCTGCTCCTCGTCCCACTAAGGATACAGAGCAGAACTGCTTGCAGCCTGCTCCCTCGCTCAGCACTGGCAGGATACTCCCCCAGGAGCAAATTGCTTAGGAAAGGACACCAAGTCTGCAAATTATTAGAGCCAAGATGAGGAAAGAAGGAGGGTCTAGGAAGCCATAAACTCCCTCTACTCCCTGGGCAGGGCATGCATTAGAATAGCAAAAAGATATTTATCTTCCTGTAAATCCACACCATCACAAGAGGAAGATTGCAGCCTGTGGTCGGGGTAAAAGCCAGTGTTACCCCAATAGCTCATGAAAGACAAAATGACAGAGGCCGAGGAGATGCCATTGTAAATGCAGAAGCCATAGCGGCCTAGCTCACCGTTTCTTTATCCATCAGGAGGACCTTCATCCCAGGCCCGCTGTCTTCAATCATCTTGGACACATATTGCTTCACTGCAAAGACCACATTCATTTTTGCAAGCGATTGGCTTTCCCCTCCCTGTCCCTTCTGCAGTGGGTAATACTAGACCAGGCACGGAGCAACCAACTCCTCCTTTCTCCTGTACAGCCAGCTGCTTCCTTCCTTGTTTCCTCCTATTGCAGCACTGGGAGTTGTAGTTCACAAGGCGGAGGAATGTACTGCCAGGCAACACCCATCCTCTTTTCGTAGGAAGGGGTTGCAACTACAACTCCCAGCAGCCTCAGCCTAAATGCAGTCAATTTCCTGCAGCGTGGGTGTGTTTTCAATGTACTTTACACTGTGGAGCTGTCAAGTCTTTCTCATGTGGAAGGGGGAATACCACACTGGGGATTAATTTTGGAACAGTGCTTAAAGGAGCACCCTCTTGCAATGAAGCATTTTCCTGCAGGATTCCCTGAGATGCAGCAAATCACCCTCAATGTTATTATCACCGCCTGACACCTGGCATCATTTTGGTAGCTAAGAGGAGATTTTGTTCCCTTTTGCCCCTGCAGATCATCAGGGTCTAAATTTTATTTAGGCTGCAAAGAAAACTTTCCAAACAAACAGTGCGGAGGCTGTTGCAGCCATTGAACTACAAGACAAACAGTTGCACAGAATCCCAAATGACAATTCTCCCACAACCCTTAATTCTATTTATTTTTGGCCTAAAGCTCTAGCCTGAACCCTAAGAGCCTGCACAATTTTGACGCTCAACCTGCGAGAAAACAACGGCATGCCTAATACCTGGAGAGAAAAAAAAGAGCTGTGTTATGCTATGGACAATTGCAGACTTCATTAAAGCTGATGGGTGGGCTAACCACCCTTCTTTCAGGAGCAATTAAACGCCTCTTTGGATAGTGATAGCTGGAAATGGTAGGAAGCCACATCCCAAGACAATGGGCTGCATGACAAGGATTTCCTGGGGAAAGATTGCAAACACTGGGGCTAGGGGTTGCAGTGGGTCTGTGTATGAAAGGCAGAAAGCAAGAGAAGCTGTGATGAGCGTGGCCCTGGGACAAAGCCAAGAGACGGAGGTTCTTTTGGACACATGGAAAGGCAGACCTACATTTCTGAGCAAGGAAACTGCCGGCTATTGTTTGTTTCTATTGTGTTTAGGGAAACAAGACTTTGTGTACGTTCTTTGTAAATAAACAGGATAGCACCAAAGAAATATCCGACTCCTAATTTCTCCTCTTGACAGAAACAACCTGCCAAAGTCCCAAATATTGACTAGGTGCTTGGGCCAAAGGGGGTTGTATAAAGGTTGAGCAACAACCTTGAACTTCTATTGACTCACACTGAGGAGGGAGAGTAAAACCCCCCATATGCTGCTCCTGCCCCCCCAGTGTCAAGCCCCCTGACTGCTCCTGCCCCCCCGTGCCAATCCTCCCAGCTGCTTCTGCACCCCCGCAGTGCCAAGCCCCTCCCTACACTGCTCCCGCCCCCCCATGCCAACCCCCTCTGCTGCTCTTGAGCACACACCCCAGTGCCAAGTTCTATAAGCCAAATTTGGCCTGAAAGCTCAAATTTGGGGCACTTGGGGGTATAACTGAGGGCAGCCTTTGGCTGTACGGATCATCTCTCAGATGGAGGGCAGCAGTCAACTGTGCCACATGCTGACAATAACGGGGTGAATTTCTGCCAAGAATAAATGGGCAACCCCCTCTCCTCTAATGAAATCACAATATCTTAGAGATACAAGACCTCTCCTTAAGGCCCCCCCCCACTGTATACTCAATTTACCCCCCACTGGGGAAAGATGGAGGGGGTGGGGTGTAAGTCTGAGTCATATTTTGCCACAGAAAGGAATCCCCTGTGAAATACTGGAATTAAAAGTGTCCGTTTCCAAATGCGGTGTCAGTTTGAAGGTGACATGGCTGAGTTATTTGGTTTCCTTGCTGCTGGCTGCCGCGTCTTCTGCCCAGCGTAGAGCTTCAGAACAATCGTTCCTCTGCTGACCATTTTGTTTGGCTTTGTGCAGGAAACGCTGGTTATTGCCTCGGAGCCTTGGGCAGGGCTGACCTGAAAGGGCTCCACTGCACCTGCAGTGCCAACCTCCCCTCCACCCTGCCCCATTCAGCTCCCCACGTGAGCCAGCTCCCCATAGGGATGCTCCCTTAGCAGCTCCTGCCCTCAATGTGCCATTTTCTCCCCCAGCTCTTCCTATGCCACCAGTTGCTCGTGCCCCACGGTGTGCCATTCCCCTTCATGCTTGCTCCTGTGTTCCCAGGGTCATGCCCTCTCCAGGCTGCACCTGCGCCCCAGTGCCAATCCCCCCAAGTGTTCTTATCCTCCCCCAATACCTAGTCTTTCCCCCGTTTCAGTCCCTCCCAGCTGTTCCTGTCCTCCCCTCCAGTGCTAATCCCCCACCCCCAAAGGCTGCTTCTGCCCCCACAGGCCAATTCGCACGCAGGCCACGCCTGCCTGCCCCGCAATGCCAATCCCCCCACAGGCTGCTCCTCCCTGCCCCCTCAATGCCAATCCCCTGCCCTCCCCGGCTTCTCCTGTCCTCTCCTGGCAGTGCCAATCCCCCTTGCTTCTCCTGCCCCCCGTGCCAATCCTCCCTGCTGCTCCTGCACCCCCCCAGTGCCAAGCTCCTCCATAGGCTGCTCCTGCATTTCCCCCCAGTGCCAACCCCCGACTGCTCCTGCCCCCCAGTGCCAAGCCCCCCATAGGCTGCTCCTGCCCCCCCCATGCAATCCCCCTTGCTGCTCCTGTCCCCCAGTGTGAAGCCCCTCCATAGGCTGCTCCTGCCCCCCCAGTGCCAACCCCCCGACTGCTCCTGCCCCCCAGTGCCAAGCCCCCCCATAGAATGCTCCTGCCCCCCAGTGCCAAGCCCCCCAACTGCTCCTGCCCCCCCAGTGACAAGCCCTCCCCCCGCCCCAGCTACAGCCCCCTCCCCCCAGCGGCCTCGCGCTCCCCGCGTTCCAGCCCGGGCCGTTGGAACGCGCGTCTCGAGCGCGGAGCGGCCGTTGCAGAGCGAGAGGCCGCCGCCAGGGCCGGGTGGGTGCGGGGCGCAGGGCGGGGAGAGACAGGCCCGGGGGGTGGATATGGGGATTGTCACTGTGCCCCCCCCCCAATCCCTGGGGTGAATGAGGGAGCTGTGGGAAGCCCCCCAAGTCCCTGGGGTGCATGGGGGTGTCTGGGGAGCCCCCAAGTCCCTGGGGTGCATGGGGGTGTCTGGGGAGCCCCCACATTCCTGGGGTGCCTGGTGGCTGTGGGGGTTTCACTATAGCCCCCAAATTAATGGGTGATAGGGGAGCTGTTGGTGCCTCCCAAATTCATGGGGGGATATGGGGAGCCCCTGACATTCCTGGGGTGAGTGGGGCAGCTGTGGGGGTTTCACTATAGCCCTCTAGGAGATAACTAAAGTGGGGGTTGTGAGGGAGCCTTACTATAGCCCCTCAAATTCTTGGGGTGCAGTGGGGTTTTCCTTAAGCCACTCCCCAGATTCCTGGTTATGAATGGGGGGGGCTGTGAAGGTTTTGCTATGCCCCTCCCAAATCTCTGGGTGTGATTAAGGGGGAGATTGGGGATGTTTCATCCCCACCCATTACATGGGAGGAATTCGTGTGAGAGCCTCCCGTTGCCACCCCACAAATTACAGGGAGGTAAAGAAGGATGGGGTGGACTTTCTCTTACAGCGTCCTCCACCCCAAATTCCAGGATGAAGACCAAGGGGGGGAATTGGGGTTCTCCCTTTAGCACCCCCTCCCCAAATTCGTGGGGAGTTTTGGTCATCTAGCTCATCTAGTTAGCTCAGCTCCTGGAAAGTGAAGCTATGGGCTACCCCCACAAGTACTTATCCAAGGGTCCAGGAGGGTTTGTACATCCCGCACCAAAGCTGATCTGTGGATTTTGTTTTACTTAGCTCTTAGAAACAGACCTGATAGGGTATGAAGGTTAAAAATTGTAGCATCCCGGCAAGGAAGGAATAACTGTAGATTGTAGCCTAAACTCATCTCTGTTTCTGATTTCAGGTTCCACTCTCAAAATGCCATTACTTGAAAAACATGGTAAGTTCTAATCCTTGGATCTATTTATGTGAGGTGTCTCACACGGCAAGGCCAAAATGATAGTTGTTAAAATCACTCTTCAGGAATGACAAAATAATCAGATCAACCTTTCCAATCAATAATTTATTTCCAACCTAATATTAGCCAACAAGCAACTATGGATGAGAATGTAAGGTCCAATTCTGCAAGGTGCTGAGCATCCTCAACTCCCACTGAAGGCAGTCTCAGAAGAGGTATTCAACATCTCAAAAGATCAGGCCCTTAAGAAGCCTTAGACCTGATTCTCCATTCACTCACGTTGTTGTAAATCAGGAATGATTGCATTTAAATCATTGGGGTTACATCAGTGTGAGTGAAATCCGAACTCAGGCCCTTGGCTACATAAGTCTCCAGGTCAGTCGAAAGACAAGTTTAAAACAAGCAGTTCATTATACTGCTAGGGCTTAACATTGTCTTACTGCAAACTGCGGCCCTGCTCCTGTAAATTGAGCCACATGGGCTCTGTTCCCACATGGCGCCCCACTGAAGTGAATGTGAGGGTGCAGGGGTCCGCCTGCATTGAAAAACTTGCAGGATTGAGCCCTATATAGTTTTTGCTTTAAAGCCCTGGGTCTGTGTGACACTTATTCTGCTACTATTGTTATTCCTGATTATGACATTTTTGGAACAGGGCTATTATGTTCAGTCAAGTGTAATAATATAATGTATGCATGTTTCATACAGAAAATGGTGAGCAGGTGCTGGTGAAAAATGAAACCTATTTGCAAATCTTGTAAGTACCTTTTCTGAGAAGCTGAGCTCTTTCATATGCTGTGCCTTTGTACTTCTATTTCACTTTTTATTCTGTTTGATTTACACTTAATGTACATCAAAATACATTTAAAAACATGAATATAGTCTAAAATTCCTGTATTTTGTAGGAAAAATAAGGATCAGAGAAAGAGACTTGTCCATGAAATCTGTTCCTTTTTAGACAGCAGTCAGTCTGTAAGTAATACATAACAACAACAACAAAAGATTTCTGAAGACATTTACATATGCGTTATTAATGTTCAGCCTGTGAAAACCGAGATTCGTGTATGCAGCTGAGACTCTGTGAGGTCTGGTCCACACACTGTTTTCAGATTGGTATAACTATGTCTATTAGTGGTGTTGTTTTTTTACTAATATAGTTATATTGTACAATCACTAGTGTGAATGCTCTTATACTAGTGTAAAGGTGCCTTATATTGCTATAACATATTCCCCTTCCCATATGGAAGGGGAAGGAGCTATACTGGTGTAACTGTTAAAATAATAATAATAATTAATAATAAAGCAGTACAACTTTTGTGTGTAGGCAAGGCCTTCTTTTGCTAAAAATGACTCCTCTGTTCACCAGATAACACAACATAAACAAACAGAACCAGCAAGAAAGTAATTCTCCTACATGTGAAGGGACACAGTGCTCAAGCCAAAAAAGTCTCCTTCCCCATTCTCCTTATGTAAACATGGCATATTCCACTTAGATGCACAGGGAGCGGATAAGAGAAGGGAATCCAGTAGTATCTCCAGAGTGAGACAGACTGTAACAGTCTTAAAATCCCAGTTTATAGTTTGAACAACCAACTAAATCAGACCCGGGCACCTCAGTTGGGAGTCAGGATGTGCTGAAGTTCCCTGCGATGGGGTCAAGGAATAGGAGGGGGAGTGAGGGGAGGTATTGAGAGCCAGCTCTTGGCTGGGAAGGTGGGTTCCAGGGATTGCAAACTTCTCCCAAGCCTGTTCCAGCTCCCCTGGGTCCCATTCTCTACTCCCTACCTAGCCTGACCCCGGGTCCTGCGACAACAGCTACAGCCCCTGTGGATCTAGCTCCCCCGCGCTGCCCTAGATGCATGCAAGTTTACACAGGGGTGGAGTTCTCACAATATTTCCATTGCAGGGGTGCTAGTCCCCCCTACTTCCCTTTGTTCCACCGCCCCTGACCTCGGTGTCACCTGTTCTCTGCCTGTGGCACACAACTGTTTAGTCTAACTCAAGTTATTAGGCTCAATAGAGGAGTAGCTGGGTGAAATTGGATGGCCCATGGTACACAGGAGGTCGAACAAGATGATCCAATGGTCCCTTTTGGTCATAAACTCTATGAAATCTGGATTTGTTGGTAACATGGCATGACTGTGTGTGTGACATTGAGGAAGGAGTAAACCTCACAACAGTCATTATATTTCTTCGCTGGCTTCATTTTTGTGATCCATCTGGGTAGTAACATTCTGCTAATTACATTATAGTTTTAAAACAATGGCCCTGTTCCTGGAATATACTCTCTGTGTAGAATCCTGCTCTTGCATGGAGCACCAATGAAGTCATGTCACAGGATCAGAGCCTGTGTGATTACAATATTTATTAACCCAATGTGATTATCATATTTATTCAGCATCAGTAAACGAGTTAACTTTCTTAAAGTTGTTTACAGCATATACCTAACTATAAAATTAAGAACAATATTACAGGTGTTTTAAAATTTGGCAAGTATATTGTAATAAGCCCTGAAAAAGCTGACATTAATTTCAAGAGCTACAAAGGTGACCCAGATGTTAAAATTTTCCCAACACAATTATTGATATATTTATTTTTCTTTCTTAGGTCCAAGAAATTGATGCTTTGAGGACAGAAAATAGGAAGCTAAAAAATGCGGTATATATTTTTACATAATATATTTCAATTTTTAAGTGGTTAAATGAATGACAGCTCTCTGCAGTTGCTCAGGGAATAATTACAGAAATCACTTTAGCTAATTCTGTTTTTTCAATATAGAGAGGTTTCAATGTTAATGTTTCTATATTTGTGCCTAATACCATTTTCATTCTGTTTCGTTTTCATTAGAACTCAAGGCTGCGTTATAAAACTAAAGGTACATAATCTAAAAAGAACCTAGAAGTTTCCCAGCTGGATTAGAAACAGAAATTGAAGATGAAATGTGTGGGTTTGAAAAGGTTTCGATGCAAAATTATGGTAGAAAAATGATGAAAATGAAGAAATTGGTTATGTATTTTAAAATTAACCACTGATAAAAATGAATTAGACTTTCGGGTATATACTCTGGCCAAAATGTTTAAACTTAGATGCCTTAAATTTAGCACCTAATATGTGTCCTGAGCTTCAGAGGTGCTGAGCACCCACATTTCACCTTTAAGTCAATAGAACTTTGCATAGAAATCCATGGGTAAGGTATGGCTGTCTTAGACCCCAATCCTGCAACATGTAGCATGTAGACAGAGGACTGCACCTGCATGGAACCACGTAGAAAACAATATGTTGCACACCACATTTTACAGGACCAGGCCTTAAATTGTTTGTGAACAGACTTAGTGAAAGACAAAAACGTCCACACACAAAAAAATTATCTGTGGAAAAATTTGCATAGATCTTTTAAAGCTGGAAAATAATGGGGACTTGTACGGAGTTTGATAAACAGAACTTCACCGGTTTTTTTGGTGGAAAAATTAATTACTCCTTTTTTCTCCCTTCTCTTCCTAGATTGGGCATTAAAGAAAGAAGAATATGAAAAGTAAGATTGATGCACTAGCATTTTCTTACACAGGGTTTAAAATGGTCCACAACTGTGCTAAAATGTATTTGTTTTCAATAGCACTTCCAAATTTTGCAAAAGATGGATTCATTCCTGTCAGAGGTCATTTAGAAAAATTGGCTCACTTTTGTGCCTGTTTTGATCTGAATTCCCCTTGAACCACAGGTTTTGCTTGTTTTCCTTTTTCCTACATGGGATGAAATTAAACAAATGCAAATTTAGGCTGAATAGCAGGAAAACTTCTCAACAGTGTGTTCTGGTATACCGTGGAACAACTAAGGCCATTGTTTAAGTCACTGAAAACTTGAAATGAGAAACCACTGGAGAATATAAACCCATCTGACTTAATTGGGACTTAAGCACATGCTTAAAATTAAGAATGTCCTTAAGTGCTCTGATAAATTAGGGCCATTGGGAACATCTCTGCATTGGCTGGGGTGAGACGATAGATTAAATTCCCCCCAGTACAGATGAGCCAGCTAAAGTTCTAGAGTCCATTTAAGCCCGTAGCATGAAATTTAAATGGACTTGTAATTCTGCTGCCCGGGGTGAATGAATTTCAGCTAGATAAATAATTTTTTCCAACTTCTAGCTGCTATGATTCGAGGATAAACTGATGTCTTCATCAGTTTTGTAAGTTAAAATAGTTCTGGTGAGTGACATGTCTACTTGCATTTTGCTTTGTTTTCAAAGTGAGATTGAGAGGCTTTCTGGCGAGATATCTAATTACTTAAATGTCACCAATTTCTGGGTGAGTATATCTGTATTACTAACAGTTCTGGGGGAGGTGGTTGATGGGATTACCCCTCTTGAGTATGTTGTTGTGCTATCAGCTAGTGTGATATAAAAATAGTCAGACCCAAGAAAAAAAGCCCAGGGACATTAATTATACCAATGATTGGAGTTCATTACATTTGTTTAGCGGGATTAGAAGACTATCAGAGACAGAAAAATTATGAATCCCAAAATGAAGCAAAGAAAGACCAATTATAAATCTTTGTTTTATCTCCTCTACCTGCATTAGGGAAACAGATGCAAGTGATGCATTTAGGAATGGAGTACTTCTGGTTATGTCCCAAAGTGAATTTTTTCACAAAAATGCCTAACTTTTTCTGATTGACTGAAATGAACTGTCTCTCTCCTTTAGTATGAAGAGTCAGAGTTTTTGAATGGCCCAGGTATGTTATTTTTAGAGATCGTGAAGAACATTTAAGATAGTTATAAAAGTACTTTCCTCTGTCTGGCTGTCATGTTTTTTTGTTTGTTACAAGGCTACAAGTGTGTACCTCAGCTGTGTTATACCCTGCCATAATTTTCACTGGCTTGTACTGAAAACATTGATTCAATATTCGAGCATGAACAGCAGGATGCTAATTTAAAATACATCACAAAGCAAATAATGTGAATGCGGTGTTAAGGCTGAGAAATCAAGCCTTAATCAGGAAATTCTAACATTAGAGAGACCATAATAAATTTGTACATTTAACAGATAAGAGAGCACCGAGGGAATCGACCAAACATGTGAGGTGAGCAATGGAGCAGGTGACATTTACTAGCTACATTTGAAAGGAAATGATAACATGAGATAATACCATGATGTCATCACTCCGCATATTGTGGAGTTTGAGCTGAATAACTCTCAGGTGAACTTTCTGAAAATAGATGGTGTCTGATTTGCAGAGGTGCTGAGCACTCACATCTCCCATGGACTTCAGTTGAAGTGCTGGGTGATGAGCATCACTGTAGGTCAGGTCTATACTGTCTCAGGACCAACACCCCAAATTGGTAGTCACAGTTGAACTTTTGTCTTTGGCTTTAAAATGTTCAGATGTAAAATGCATTTTGTGTCTTAAAGGAAACTCTTTCAAAGAAAGTCGCAATTCCACTTCAACATTATTTAACTACACATTTTAATTTTGAAGTACCTACATTTAGCATTAAATTTGTAGGAGCCGAGGGCAAATAGCAAGTTAAACATAAGCAGTCTGGGGGTTTTAATATTATAAATACCCAAAAGCTGCAGTTTAAAGGGCTAATCCTGAATGATCGATGGCTTTTTGAAATGATTGTACTTGCATTTGAACTTCTACAGCACTCAGACAGAGGGCGCCCTTGGATCGGAGAAAAAGTAACAGCTGTTCTTTCTATTAATTCATTCGATTGCAATTCATTAGATATAAACTCATGTAAATGTTGTGTTTTTTGTGGTACTTACACTACTGGGATGGTTTCCATGTTGAATTAAGTGGCCACAGTCTTCCATCGACTGGAGGGATACTGTAAAGGGCCAGCACTGCCCAAAGTGTGGATGATGCTGGCAGGGCATCCTCTTAGCAGCTTTTGGGAGGATTGGTGAGGAACTCCTAGTGGGATTTAAAACTAGTAAGTACCGCAAGCAGTGTCACTACCATGCCCCTCCCTTGGGGTAAATCTCTTCTGAAAGAGAGGGTGTGTCATTTTCATCTCCCCTTGCACCTGGTTTAGTGAAGATCCATAGGAGGGAATAATAAGAAAAGGTGAATTACAAGTTGGTAAATATAATGAGAAGATCTGCTAGACAGCATCTTTTGGAAATGTTTGGACAGGATTAGCCAGTCTCAGAGTCCTTTGTATATAGCTGTGATACATGGGTCCCTAAATCTGTGTGTGCATTGAAATAGCAATAACTTGTGAAGGATTCTGCAGCCAACTATAGTCTTTAGATCCCTTAAGGCGTGAACTTTCAGTGTGGTGCGTTGGGAGTCCAACCTTCTGGCTGCCTTTACTGTTTGAAAGCTGCATAGCTAAATCTCTGTGTATCTTGCTAAAAATGTTTGTACAACTAGTTCTCAGTATGAGAGTGGTCTATAGATTAGAACCTGGCACTGGGATTCAGGAGTTCTTATTTCTCCCCCTGACTCTGCCACCCACTCAGTATGTGACACTGGTCAACCCACTTAACTTTCTCATGCCTCATTTTTCCTATCTACAAAATAGGAATAATACTAAGACACTTCACTAAAGTGCTTTGAGATCCTCTGAAGAAAATTGCTATATACATGTCTTTATTGTTAATTTGTCACTAAGAGATCTAGTGAATTATCCAGATTTATCAGCATCCAACCTCTTTGCCTCCGCATAGATGTGCAATAGAAAATTTATATCCAGAATTAGATCTAAATTAAAAATATCTCAGTTGCATTGACCTGAGAGCCCTTTATTAAATAAATGGGGATGGTTTACTGGTCTGAACATCTGATTTGCAGTTACCAAACTCCCTGTCAACACAGATTCAGGTTTTGGTAGGGTTCATACCTGCAAATACTTAAGACTTGGGAGACTCGAGTTCAATTCCCTGCTCTGCCACAGACTCCTTGTGTGACCTTGGACAAGTCACTTAATGTCTCTGTGCTTCAGTTCCCCATCTGTAAAATGGGGTTAAGAGCACTTCCCTGCCTCTCAGGAGAATTGCAAGGATATTGCATTAAAGACTGTGGTGCTCAGTTGGGGCTCATGTAAGTAACTATGGCAGACAGACATAGCTCTTCATTTTTGTAAGCAGGGATGGGTGCTTTGCTAAATGTGTGATAAATAAATAATGACCACAGTTGCTCAGGACCTCAGTTTTTCTAACTATTGGTATCATTTCTGTTCTTCTCTATGGATCTTATTTAAGGAGTGTGTTTGGAAGCATCCCTAGCTTTTATTACTTGCTTTATCTAATTGCTACAGCTATGCCTGGTCTCAATGGAGTTATTTGCAGCTACATTTGTCCTTAAAATGAATGTGAATCAGTGAAGGGAGTGGGAGTAACCATTGAGCACACACCCCGGGTGTCAAGTGGCAAAGGCATTGGCTGGCAACCTTCTCTAAGCATTTGGCATTGAGGGTTGCCACCTGCTACTTTCCTAATTAATTCTTCAAGAGTGTAAATGTGGGAGCAGCTATAGATGCGACCCAAGCCCAAATGCCATTCTAGTTAGGTATTTCCTGTGCTGAGGATACAGGTAATAAATAGGACTCCACAGATGGAGAGGGCTTATCAATTTGCTCAGATGTCTTGTATAACCAGTTATTGGGACGTCATGCCTAATGAGTAATTCAGCTAGTGAATAAAGGTTCTTCATAAGAGGCAGTGAGCAGAGACTTATCTTGAAACCAAAAGCGAACATTAAACCTAGGGTGAGGAGGATGGGCCTTGAGACATGTGGAACAAAGGAAAACTCGCCACCGCTGGAACTGGTCAGGCAGCCAGCACATATGCAAGATTGGTTACCATGTAATAGGAGGAGTCTCTCAAGGAACAGAGTGGAAGAAATCCAAATGTATTTTGAGTAGAGACATCCTGAAATCCCTTGCAGCTTCTCTCTTCAGTGTTGTTAAAAAGCAGATTTATGGGAGCATTCTAGTGTTGTTTCAAAAAGCTATGATGTTTCCTTTTGGCCATCAGGCATATAAGCTATATGAGTAAATCCCTGTTAAACAGAAACTTGTACTTTAAAATCAATGGGAGTTAGGTGGCTAAATACCTTTTGAGGATCTGGGCCTAAGTCTAGTTTTTATAGGTGGCAAGGGAGTATTATACTGACTGGTCCACTTATTTCTTTCCTTTGTTGGTTTCTAGTATTCAAGGATGCCTTTTTTTGTCCTGTGCTACCTATTGCATCTCATCTGTTCAGTGGTTCCTGGTCATAACACTAACCATAAGAAAGATGGCATTACAACTTTGTTTTTCTAAGCCACCTGTTTTTTTTTTATAATTCATATTTTTAAAAGCTTTCTCACTCGCTTCTGTTCTGTGCTTCCCTTCCTCACCTCCTCCAACTTCTCTGTTGCTTCTGCCCCTAATTTGAGAGTGGTGCATTCAAACAGCGGCAGAGATATTTTCCTTCCAACCCCGGGAAGTGGCTTTGGCTTCAAACTGTCACCAAAGCGGTTTGTATCAAATCTGAGTGATCAGATTGTTCTGTACGGGGAAGCGGCGTGTTCAGCATTGTAACTTCTGTATTACAGGCTTTTATAACTGCCTAAGAACCAAGTGTCTCTGTTACTCAGAACTAAACATGGAAGTCAGCGCCTGGCAAATCAGACTGTTGTAGCCCTTGGTTTGGAGTACCAGAAAGGTTTCTGTTTTTACTGGAAAGGAGCTAATACTTCTTTTAAAGAATATCAGCTTTGATTCATTAATATTGAAGAACAGAGAACAGCTCTTGGTCCTGTTAATCTCAGTAAGAATAGCATTTGGGATTAGAAGCTATTCCTAGCATGAGAGAGCTAAGAAAAGAGGTTAAACATAGTCAATCCAGTGCACCTCCATTATAATGTCACTATTTATAGTATAATTTTGAATGGATAAATCCTGCCTTTCAGCTCAAATTAAGCAATTCTCCTTATCTTCATCTTGTAAAATATGTATTTGTTGCCTTTTTGATCACAGGTGTGACTGTGTTTTATTTCACTTTGATAATTTATGAGCTCTTGGATATATTCCTGTAAGAACTATTGTAGGCCAAGAAGCTACACACACTTAGAGATCTTTATACTGTACTGTTTTGTATGTTTTTAAAAGATCTAAGCTTTTTCCATAAGAAGGTATTTTCTAAAGACCAAATTTTGCCAGTCATATTCCCTTACTCTAGGAGTCAATGGGACTGCACATAGCATAAAGTACTACTCATCGTAGCATCAGTTTGTAAAATCAGGTCTTGAATTAGGGCTTAATTGCATTTTGTTGTTTTCTGGGCCTGTTTTGGTTTAAAATGCTTTGATAATGTCTGGAAAGCACTTATTTAATTATTTGTTCTGTTTCTGTGGAAATGCTTTTGTAATGATGTCAGTGATGTTACTTTTGACTAAATAAGCCTAGTATGTTGTCTCCTCTTTAGAAATTCATCTTTGTAATCGTCCTTGCAAGAATAAGAAATGTCTTTTTGTTCATTCACCAGCTTGTATTGTGTTGGATTTGCCAAAGTGAATTTTAAAAGCTTAAAGTAGATTTGATTTTCTGATCTTAAAACTAATATCGTACTAAAGAAGGATGCAAAAGACATGTAATTAATCTGCTTTTGTTTGTTTTTGCAACACAGGACTGTTGCAACTCAGACTGGTGAAGATAGCTCAAGGTACCATATGATGACACTGAATGTTTCTTAAAAACATTGCACTTCAGGTGTTAGCAAAGCACTTTGTTTCTAAGCTCATTGTACATAGGTTTTTACTTAATTTCACATTTAAAAGATGCAAAATACACCCAAAAACTCAAGTTCAAGTGTTTGCTGTTAAAGTATCTATAATCTGGGGCTGGACGACATGGGATGATCACTCAGTAATTGCCCTGTTCTGTCTATTCCCTCTGAAGCATCTGACACTGGCCACTGTCAGAAGACAAGATCCTGGGCTCAGTGGACCATTGACCTGACCCAGTATGGCTGTTCTTAAGTAACCACTTCATTGGTATCAAAGGATTTGGCTGCCTCTTTGTATGTTTGGATGCCCAACTTGAGACACATAGGGCCAGTTTTTCAGAAGCATTAAGCATCCATAACTCCACTTGAACGCAATAGGAGCTGCAGGTGTTCAGCACCTCTGAAAATCAAGCCTGCTGAAATCGCTGGCAAAGCTCCCATTCACTTCAGTGAAGCCAGGATTTCACCCTATATGTTTAAAGTCAGGCACTCAAAAATGGAGACACCCCAAATGAGTTTTAAATTGTGGCCTGAGCCTTGAGCCTAGCTTATAAATCAACGGTGGCAGGATTGTGGTATTTTACGTGTCCTGAAAGCTCTTTGGTCAGGGAATGCCTTTTTGTTTTCTGTGTTGTACAGCACTTAGTAAATGGGGCACTGGGGCTCCTCCATGCTACTGCAGTACAATAAAAATATTTTAAAGCATCTAGCACCCTCTTGGTGCAATACAAATGCATAGTCATATCGATTATAGATTAGAGTCTTATTGAAAAATGTAAGATACGGTAGCAAAAACTATAGTGCTTTGAAAGGAGTGGTGTAGTAGTTGTTCAATAAAAGTTTAGTAGTTGAATAAAAAGGTGGCGTAGATCTCATGCTGGAGATATTGATATCTCGTTTAATTTGTTGTTTTTCTTCTAAACCCAGCTGCATAGTTGAAGAGTCATTGGCACAGGTAATCAAGATCTCTTGGCTTTGCCTCATTTGAATCCAGCAGACTGTAGGCAGGTGCTATGCAAACTTCCTCCTACCGAGTTTT